AGCTCAGGGTGCAGAAGAGTATGAAGGGATGGACACTGGGAGGAGGTAACTATGGGGAGGAAGTGGGAGGGGAGCTGCTGCATTGTAAATTTTGGTCAGTGACATGAGACAAAGTATATGTGAACTGCTGTATGAAAAGTGAATTTACTCTCTAAATCTTCACCCAAATCCTAATTAAAAAAAAAAAGAGAGAAAAAAAAAAAAGAACAGAACTCATTTGTAATCTGGAGACTGCTTGCACCTCTGAAAATCCTTGATCTATGTTCTTGAAAATAAAGAATCAGAATAGTCTTATATGGAGTTTAAGGATGAATACTGCTAGTCCACATTTTCATATATCCTTCTCATATGTATTAATTGTTGACATGCTGAAAAATGTAATAAACTGTTACATTTAATAGTCAATAACAGTGAGTATTATTTGCCTCAGAAATTAAGCCTCTAGAACATATTAGCATTTTGTTCCTATGATTTTAACCTACTAAAATCAGAATTCCTATGAACCTATGATTGTTTTTGTTAGGTGCCATTGAGTTGGCTCTGACTCATAGTCATGTTATGTACAACAGAACGAAACACTGTCCAGGCCTGTGCCAGCCTCACAATCCCTGCTATACCTGAGCCCATTGTTCTAGTCACTGTGCCAATCCATCTCATTGAGGGCCTTCCCCCTTTTTGTTGACCTTCCACATGAACCTATGTACCTGTTCTAAATTGCAAAGATGTAATTGGCATGGTCAATTTACCATTTCAACTTTGTTTAGCATGTCCATATGGTTATACTTTCTAAGTTTTCTTTTAAGTCATTCAAAATAAATATTTAATTCGCTGTTAAGTATAATTCATTCTACATACATATTTAATTCATTGTTAACTAATAATATTTAAGTGCACAACATCTTTGTATATACTGTACCTTCCATGCAAGTTTTCCAGTGTCATAAATCCCTCCCAAATCTAATAATTGTCTGATCAATTCCAGAGGTGGTTGTGCTCCATATATCTCTGGTGCTGGCTTATTCAGATCATCAATAAACACTACAATCTTAAGTAAGACAAAAGATTTTAAATTTTATTTATTAGTACTGCCTTTCTTTAAATTCTGAATTAGGAATATTAGCTATGCCATAATGTAAAAACAAAGTTATGTGTAATAACATGTCCATTTTTATATTAAAAATAGTAGATCAAATCTAATTTTGAAGATATGATTTTACAGAATAAGTTTCAAAAATAGCAGAAATTCTACTTACCTTTATAGAACTGCACTAATTATGTCTAATAGTAGTTATAAATGTGCTTGATGCTAGGTAGTTGTTGTTGTTGTTATGTGCTGTCGAGTTGGACCCGACTCATAGCGACCCCTCCTTGGGTTTCTGAGGTAGTATCACTATGGAAGTAGATTGCCCAAACTGCCTTCCAAGGAGTGGCTGGTTGGTTTGAACCACCAGACTTCTGGGTAATATAATTGTGGTTATTACAAAGGATTATTATTCATTTAACACATACTTATGGATTGTCTACTATGAGCAAGGCACCATTTTAGGTATTTATTCCATCTGTAACCTGGTTTAGGAATAAAACTATCATTTGGAACTAGACTTATAAATTCTACTGCAAATTTTGTTGCACAATCAGTGTAAAATTCAGACACATTTCCAATTTTTAAACCTATGTCACCACCTTTGCAAATATTATGTATTCATCGAAGTGCACTCATTATAATCTCTGTGTGCATTAGCCCATTTAGATTGTGTTAATTTTGGTAAAATAAGTAACTCAACTAAGCAAAAAAAAAAAAAA